GCTTGATATATGGAATTCCCATGTGGAGGTTGTAGTTAAAACGTAAAGAAATGTCCAGCTCTTAAGAACAACAAGAATAACTATGCCTCAAATATATTTGGGTAAAATATATATGTCTTCTATACCCATTATGCTCTTTTTTTCAGTTTGTTTCATTCCAATACTCAATAATAAAGACAAATTTAGGGGTCTCTAAAATTAGAGATTCTCTAAATGTCACCAAGTTGAAATGTTAACTGGTCTTACTTGTCTAGAAATGAAGAAAGAATTTCAAACATTGTAAAGAGTATCTTCACTTGATGATGTTTGTGTTTATAGATTGGGAAAATGAAGCTAGCACCCATTATTAAAGTAGGTAAGAGAGCATTTAGTTGGTGAGTTCTATTTATTGAGATATTTATGCGCCTCTTGTTGCTTTTGCAGGATTAAAGAGGGAAAACTTTGGGCCTAAAGATGGAAACTAGATCAGAAAACTTTTCTGTGGATTTTCTGATGGGGGGAACGGCAGCCATTGTAGCAAAAAGTGCTGCAGCACCAATTGAGAGAGTAAAACTTTTGTTGCAGAATCAGGGAGAATTGATGAAGAGAGGTCAACTTAAGAGACCTTATATGGGAATCGGTGATTGCTTTCAAAGAGTTTTGCAGGAGGAGGGTCTTGTCTCACTGTGGAGGGGAAACCAGGCCAATGTTATAAGATATTTCCCAACTCAGGTGGGTCATAAATTATCTTAACTTTTTCTGCATCGGACTTGGACAGTTCATGATGTAATCTAAACTAAGTCATCCTTTACATGTGTCTTGATTGAATTCACAATGTTCTCCGTGCGATTCAGACCCCTTCTTGGGTCCCTAAAGCAAGGTTTTCCTTAGCTACCATGTCAAAGCAGCTTTTTATTTAATATTCGTTAAGATTATGCTTCTGTACAAGTGATCTAAGATAACCACATCGAACAATGTCTGCAACACAACGTGCATAGGTGGTATTTTCTGATAATTTTATAAAGCAATCAATTAGACCCAACCAATGCTCACATCAATGATGTTAATGGAAAATTGCTCCTGCACGACTCCACTTCTCCCTTACAGTCTCATATAACAAATCTACATTATTTCTCTTAATTATTTCATAACATTGAAATTCTCTCAAAGGAAAGCTGCAAAAAGAAGGAACATTCCAAGTATAATTTCTACTATATAAGTGCACAACTTTTTGTAAAGCATTGCAATAAAGGGAAGTTGTTGTTTTCCCTGGTATCAGAATCTATAGCTTCCAGTTAGATTTCAAGATATCATCATAATATTTTGACATGTATGTTTAAAGCTCATTAGATGCCAAGTATGCCAGTTTACTTGGACAAGCTACTCTTCTTAGTCTTAGGAAAATCTGTGTGTTGCAGTCACAGGCTCTAGAAGACTTGTCACATGTAGGTGTAAAGCTCAGTTGCCAAGTATGTCAGTCTACAGAAACAAGTTAATCTTTTTAGGCTTAGGGAAATTTGTGTCTTGCTGTAACAAGCTGTATATAGACTTGTGTATGTACTTTATTTTTCATAGAAGACTGAAATTTATCCAGTTATACTTGAATGGATATGTTGCTTTCTTCTTTTTCCTTTCTAATGCCATTCTTCTCCTGTTGTGTTTGCCATGTTTTAGCAAAATTCAAATGTCATATGAATTTATTGGTTATCCTCCCTGTGCAAAGCTTTTTCATGTTTTTAAGGTGTTATAGATAGAAGATCTCTTCTCACTGTACCTTTACTACTTTCTCCTTAAGTGTTTCTTGGTTATCTGACTCCTCTTCAATATACGAAGTAAGAGGAAGTCTAAGGTGACTCCGTAGCTGCAGGAACCAAAGAGCTCCCACCACCTGGTCACTGACCACAATAAAGGACAGGAATTGATAGAGTAGAGTGAATTTGCAATATGTTTGGAAGTGGGTACTGAAAAGGACTATTAGCTTTAGTCTTTTATTCTAGCTACAAACCGGACTTCTGATAGACTTCCTGTTATCCTTAGAATAATTTCAGAGCTTATTATAACTCTTGATGATGATGATTGCTTCAATAGGCAGCTATAGCTTATAGTGAGAAAGGCTTATTAAATAGTTTCAGTATCCATCAACAGGGGTACTTCAGAGTTGCCCTCATACATGGAGTCAAGGAGAAAGTTTGTTGGAATCATATCTTAGTTATAGATTTGACTAATAGTGCAGAGCAGTTCCCTGATGACATTTAGAACACGTGATAGTTCCACGCCAAGTGTTTTGAGAGATGATATTATTATGAAACTAAGGTGAACGAGGAGAATGCCTCAAGGTACAAGATGTGCATGGGGAGAATGAGCACTTTATTAGGGCTTAGGTCGTGAAACGTTTACGCCCATGCTTGCCAGGACATTTAGAGCATGCATCGCATTAATATAAGTACGAGCCTGGAGTTCCCTGTTTAAATATTGGTTACTCCATCCAAACTTGGCACTTTTCCAAGAGGTCATCGGATTCTACTCACCAGGTCCTCAAGCACAATCTCATGCATATTTGGATTTCTTAATAAGATATCGCTAGCTCCAATATGTTCTTCTCATAACTTAGTCCGAATTTAAAGTTACTGTTTATTTTTGGGTCCTACTGTCATCATAATCATTATTAAGTTCACCTTGGGCATGGCGGGGATTAGATAGGCCTTTATTTGTTTGTTGCTTGAAGCCATACATGGAGGGGGGAGGGACATGTGTCCTTTAATTCCTCATATCCTGTATAAAAAAATGAATATGTTCATGCCTATGCAAAGATGTATTATCAAGAGTATGGTATGCATATATCCTATCTAGATTCTGCCTCGTAGATTGTTCATAAACCTTCTTCACAACTAAGAAGAAATCTGTGATCTCTGCCTGTTATTATTGTGTTTGGGATGTGTTTGGTCAAGCTACATTCATCTCAAGTTCTTAGGGAAATATTGCTGAGTTTTGGTTGAAATAATGCTGGAATCCATTGCTTATGCGGTGCACTCTCTCTATAATGAACTCCTTCTGAATCACTTAAATAGTCTCATCGGTTCTTCTTTTTTTTCATCTATCTGATCTTCGCATCCTCAAAAGGATCGTCCTTTTCACATCAGCATCAAGTGCAAGATGAGATTATAGTATCAAATAATTGATCAAAATGTTTCTGTACTTAGATCTTGATATTGGGGATTCTATTATTAAACACAGAATTTATTTCTTCAACTAATTTTTGGTGAGCTTAAATTATTATTTCTTTCATAGGCTTCCAACTTTGCTTTCAAAGGTTACTACAAGACTCTCTTTGGATATTCAAAAGAGAAAGATGGATATGCAAAGTGGTTTGCAGGCAATGTGGCTTCAGGTAGCGCTGCTGGGGCAACCACTTCTCTGTTCCTTTATCACTTGGACTATGCAAGGACTCGCTTGGCAATGGATGCTAAGGAGTGCCCACTTACCGGTAAACGTCAGTTTAAGGGGCTAATCGATGTTTACTCTAAGACATTGTCAAGTGATGGAGTTGTTGGCCTTTATCGGGGTTTTGGCGCCTCAATTATGGGAATAACTCTGTACCGAGGCATGTACTTTGGGCTCTATGACTCCATGAAGCCAATTGTTTTAGTTGGACCCTTACAGGTATGTTAGATTCCTATGTTGGCAGTTTTCTGGTTTGACTTTTCTGTGTTATTGCACCATTTTCCTTAATATAAAAAAGGTTTTATTGCACCATTTTCTTCTTTTAGATGAAAGACAAAGGGAAAACAGCTTAAAAAAGATTAAAAGTTGCTCTTTCAATTAATTTATGCGGGGTATTTGTGAGGGGGAGGAAAGGAAAATGTGTTATGGTGCCGATATTTTTGATAAATTATTTGCGAGGAGGAAGGACATGCCTTGATATGACTTGTCAAAGTATGTCTGTAGACATTAATCTCGACATTCATTGTCATTCGCAGGACAATTTTCTTGCCAGTTTCCTGTTGGGTTGGAGCATAACCACTTCCTCTGGGGTATGTGCCTACCCATTTGACACAATCCGCAGAAGAATGATGTTAACTTCAGGGCAAGAAACAAAGTATAGGAACTCCATGCATGCACTCCGTGAAATTATACGCGTTGAAGGTTTTGCTGCACTTTTTAGAGGAGTAAGCGCAAACATGCTATATGGTGTGGCAGGGGCTGGAGTACTTGCAGGGTATGATAAATTACACCAAATTGTATATAGACCTGCATACAGTTTTGAGTCTCAAAGAGCCTTCAACAAGTAAGACGTTTGCATGAATATTATACATGTGTACAACACTATTCCATTTGCATACGGAAGTATGAATTCCTGGCAGAAGCAAAGGTGTAGAAGAGCATTCATTTCACCAACTTATTTTAATGAAACGAAAGCAACAGTATGCAGCAGGGTGCTTGCGCACAAATGTTATAGCTCCGTGAATATGAAGTTCTGTCACTTGTGCTGCTGTAGACCATATGCTTATATGTTTTGGACCATCGGAACAAAACAATGAAGTACGTGGTGTCATACAAGACTACACTGTGAAGACTCTTGGTTCCATCTGACTATTGTTTCTCCCCTCTCAATTTATTTTGAATTGATGCTTGGCAAGAGTTACCATGTGCATATACAAGAAAAAACAAGGCAGAAGAAATGAAATAAGGGCCTCCATCCTGTATTTTCTGTACAGTCCATTCTAAACCTTGTTTTCTTTGCTTTTTACCTCCATTGATCACTGATCCGACTTCTTGTGATAATCTAAGCTTTTCACTTGTTAATGAAAATAGGTTGATACTGGAGGCCTTTTTCTTTTAGATAAATAGGTTGAAAGTGCAAATAGTAAAAGATCAGTTTACCTGTATAAATACATTGATTTTCTTGTTACTTGGTGTTAATATCTTCACTTTTCTGATACCAAGCTCCAGTTGATTTTTTTTTTCAATTCTTGCTTAGTGGTTGCTTTGTCACCAATAGAGAGTACAGACTGTCTACTTGAATTGTTTCTTGACCATACATTCTTGCTTTGCCTTTGATTTTTTAAGGGTTTGAACCTATATATTCCAATTATTTTGGTCCAGGAAGAATAGAGAAAATATTTATTCTGAAATGAAATTAATTCCTTTCAAACTGAATTAACCAAAAAACGAAAAAATAAAAGATGAAATCTTGAAATAACTCCATCAAGCTAAAAGCCAAAATTTCTTATGACGTTTAGTAGTAATCAGATATCCTCCAGATTTGCTGCTCTTTCTTCTCACAGCAACTGTCATACAGTTGGCCTTCTGAATACAATATTTTACAACTCTGCTTCTTGACCTTTTCCTTGTCCATATCCTTAGCAGTCGCCACATTATTGATCTTTTCCTCTGTCCTAATACCAGTAAAGACACATTACGTTGCTTTGCTTCTTCTACAATCACAGCTCCTTTCTCTTTTCCTTCTTGTATTGCTATCTCCACTTGCACCTAACATGATGAAGACAATAGACAATTAGCAGCTTATTGAATTGAAATGGTTTTCCCTAAAGAGCCGCTCAACACTTTATGTTGTATATGTAGTTGTTTTTTCTACCTCACACCTGTGGGGTGCGGCCTTTTATTGCACTTGCATGAACACATAATGCTTTGTGCACCAGCTGCCCTTTTTATACAACTTAATTACATGGTACAACTAAGTTATACACTTGTATTTACCATACATAAAGTAACTTTGAAATAATTGCATTTCGTAGCTACTCTTTAGATTTTGTAGCAAAATCCCAACGGTAAATACAATGTATACAATGTATGGAGCCACATACAGTGATACAGTAACTGTAAGTATCACTATATTTTAGTGTATTGTATATGTTAATATGGCCATTTAGAATGAATGAATACAAGTGATACAAGCTGGTAACAATTGAACAGTAGATACGAATAGTAATTAAGCAAACTATAATTACGTATGGTAATTAGGCTCTAAACTGTAGTTTATGAAAATTGTTACTATCGACGTGAAATGTGAATGATCATTTTAATATGCATGATGCAGAGTATCACTTGGAGAAGAAGATTTTTTTCTGTTAAAATCTTTCTCGGTTGGCTAAGGCCAATAAAAATATTTGACACGAGTGTTTAGTTTGGTCAATTAATATGTTTTTAAGTGATATATGGTTCTGAGAATATTTGAATTTCACTTTAGAACTCTGCGATTAACCTTATTGTCATATTCAACTACAGCATATTTGAGGTGAAATATATAACTATTTAGCAACCATGTCTTATCAACTAAAATATAATATATCTCAATTTAATTACTTACCCCTGGTTTCCTTGTTTGGCACATATTTTTCATGGAGCAAAGAAGTTCATAGGCCTTCTGATTAAATTCACTGTTGGCTTTTTCACCTACAGCATATAAAAGAGAACTTAAAACTTATCAAGAAAAGGACTAAGGTATATATATGTGTTGGATTGGTTGGAGGCTAAAACAAAAGTTTTGAACCTTCATTTGAGATTTTGCTAACATATAGAAGAATAATAGTATCCTGACTTTGAACAGTATGAGAAAGTGCCCATTGCAAAGCACAATTGGCATCAAGACTAGGATCAACAACAACCATAACTCTATTATTATTGCCAGTACTCTCAAAATCTTGCCTCGAGTCTACACTATTGAAACTCATTTCTATGTTGTTTTTGTTGTCAGTTTTATCGAATTTGATCAGGCCATTCTTCTTGTATGGCTGGGAAGACGAACGCGCTCCAACACGGACCACAGTTTTGCTTTTGCAGAATCCTGGTAACTTTGTACGGACACGCATCATTCTTAGTGATCAATTCCAAATGACTGAAATACACTGTTTAGTTATGGCTATAGAAAGGCCAAAAAACAAGGCGAATTTTAGTAGGTGGTCTTGGCCTAAAGAGGCAAATAAGCCAAATTTTATACTCTATTTGATTGTAATGTGTAATAAGTGGAGGGAGGAATATGACTTTATATATATATATATATATATATATGTTGTAAGTGGTGACAAAATTAGAGTCTTAAAAGTCATGGCAATCATTTTCTGGAATATGTTTGTGTATTGGATTTTCCAAATGTGGGGTTCTTGAGTTCTTGACGTGCTTACCATGAAGTGGTAGTACATCCATAATGACTGGTTGTTGAAATTTAAATGTTTCAATAAGATTAGTAAAAGGTGATGGCGTTATTGTAAAGCATCTCAACTTCATAGCAAATATTAATAACAATGTTTGTTAGCACCATTTATTGTAGAAATATGATCAATGCAGGAATGCCAGCACAAACCAACAATTTTTCATTCTAAAAATATGAATGCAGGAAAGCCAGCATACACCAGCTAGGCCTCTCCCCACCCGTTGAAACCATTCTTTTGGTTGATCTTTAACTTGTATATATAAAATAGTATTATTTTTTTCACTATCATGTGGGGATTTATTAAGCATTTACTCATCTGGGTAAACATGTAAAGTTAGAACTTTGTATAACAGTTATCCTTTAATAATAACATTTTGTTAGAATCGAAATAATCATGTCATGTGGAAGCTAGGAAAACAAACCTTGAACGACGATAAATCAGACAACAAAAGAGAAACATACCAAAAGAGACAAATATTTAACGTGATTCGGTCAATTGACCTATGTCCGCAGATGGAGATGAGCAATCCACTATATGAAAGAGAATACAAAATATCGAGAGAACAACCTCACAAAGAGGCAAATATAAGTGACACACTAACACTTGTCCCGAAATGTTCTCCCCCTAACAAGACTTTCAAACCCCTTATGGCTACATTATGGATGCTAATAAATGAGAAGGAAGGATGCTCGATTCATAGAAGTCCAAACCTTTTCCTACAAGAAAAGGGACTAGCCAAATGTGGGAGATTTATAATTTCCTTCTACAAGAAGGAAAACCCAATTATGGTAAATATGTTGTCCTTTCATTCGAGAGATAGAAAAACCAAATATGGTAAGAAAATCAGGATAAACAACTTACACATTTTGCTATAACGGACAAGTTTTCTTTGAAGTTGATTTTTCATGTTATGCTACATTATATATTTTCTATAACTGCATTTCATTATAGCAGTCAAAATATATCCGACAAAGTACACTACCATAGAGAGATTTGATTGTACAAGATTTTGTATTTAAAATTATATATAAGATCAAAATTCGGATTGGTTTGTTTATTATACTTGAATCATTGGCGAGGGGCGGCTCTAAGGCTTTGGGTAGTGAGGCCATTGCCTTAGGCCCCCAAATTTTGAAGGCCTCCAAATTTATTTTAAATTCTTATTATTATTGTTACTATTATATATTATATAATTTATATAAATAATTAAAAAAAAAATATTACAGTATATTTTTTGTTACTTGATTGAGGTTATTTTATATAATAAATTTATAAATTATGATAATTTTTTTCCCCCATTAATTAATATATTTGACAAGAGTGAGTTGCTCTAGTGGTGAGCACCCTCCACTTCCAACTAAGAGGTTGTGAGTTCGAGTCACCCCAAGAGTAAGGTGGGGAGTTCTTGGAGGGAGGGAGCCGAGGGTTTATCGGAAACAACATCTCTAGTCCAGGGTAGGGTAAGGTCTGCGTACAAATTACCCTCCTCAGATCCCACTAATGAGATTATATTGGGATTAATGGCCTCCGAATATGATTTCGCCTTAGGCTCCGAGATCTGTTGAGTCGTCCCAGTCATTAGCTGCTCGTTTGGGAACAAAAAATACAAATTTAAGATGAAAGTCCACTAAGAAAATTCCGTTCATACTCTCTGGTCATTAGATCCATCCAGTCAGGGGCGGATTTAGGGGGCGGAGGGGGTTCACCCGAACCCCCTTCGCCGAAAAATAACACTGTATATATAAGGCAAAATCTATTTTTTATCTCTATATATTAAGTGTTGAACCCTCTTGACAAAGTCCAAAAGTGTAGCTTAGTGATTAAGGGGGTTTAAAATCTTTGAAAGGTCATAGATTCAATTCCCACTGGCTACGATATTTTATTTCTTGAACTCCCTTCGCAAAGATCCTGACTCCGCCACTGCATCCGGTTATAGTTCTAAGAATGCAATGCCACACCATTTTATAAATCACACTAGTATTAAGATCATGGTTAATTAATTAGTACATATAATTTCTGTAACTTTTGTCCCTTTTTGGGGAAAGTCAACTTTATTTGTTAAGCTGTACTTCTATAAAAAGTGTTAATTTCTACATGTCAAAACTCTGTAGTTTAGTTCTATGTATGAAGCCTTAATAGTTAATTGCCTGTCAGAGGCACGTAATTGTAATTTGAGTACAATTTCGTTTGGATCAGGAATTGTCTCTTTATCCATTGGCGGAATTAAAAAAAATCAGTTGGTCTTCAACTGTTTTGACAAGAGTGGGTTGAACACCCTCCACTTCCAACAAAGAGGTTGTGAGTTCGAGTCATCCCAAGAGCAAGGTGGAGAGATTTTGGAGGGAGAAAGCCGAGGGTCTATCAGAAACAGTCTCTCTACTTCAGGATAAGGGTAAGATTTGCGTTCACACTACCCTCCCCAGACCCCACTAGTAAAATTATACTGGATTGTTGTTGGTCTTCTTCCACTGTTCATATAATGTTTTTCTTAGCTATAAAGGATCTGCCAAACTGACCACCTGTACAAGGTGATTAAAAGAATAGTTACCTTATTAACATTCTAAGTCCAAATAAAAATTACTATTATAAATTAGCAGGTGGGCTTGTTGGGTGGGGATAATGGTGGCAAAATGAATAAAAAAATAATTATCTATATGTATTATATATCCACTAAAAAATGAGTTGGATAATCAACTTTTTAAGTAGATCTTATCCACTTAAAAATGGATAACTAATGAGTTTGCTAAGATTCAAACTAGGGGTTCTTCAAGTTTGGGAAACGAGGAATTCTCTCAAAAGTGATCATATTCAAGAAGTCACGGATAATATGGATATATTCATATTATCCGCCAGTTAACTCATTTTCTATCCGTATTCATATGGGTTGGGTCAAATAATTTATCCGTTTTTACATTACCCGTTTACGACCCACTCATATCCGACCCGACCCGCCCGCTTGCCACCCCTAGATAGGGATAATGACACTTTAGGGGTTGTTGGGTTATAAGCAATTATGCAAGGATTATAATATAGGTATTAGTAATGCAAAATTTAATAATACAAGGATCACAATGTAGAGGTACTACTAGAAATCCGCTAAAAATCGATCAAATATTTCCGACCAACGTTGGACGGTCAAAAAAAGCGACCAAAAACCGTCCAGCTTGGACGGAAAATGGAAAAAAAATATTTTATATTTTTTTAAAACTAAATACCGACCAACGTTGGTCGGTAAATTGGTCAACGAATTGACCCAGCTAGTCAGACTAGCTTAGTCAAAGAAAATTTTGAATTACAGATCAATATTAGTAGGTAATCTGGACCCAAATTTTAAAATTTTAATAATTATTTTATTATTTAAAATATTTTATAATATTTAAGAATTTATATTGAAAATTACCGATCAACGTTGGTCAGTAAATGCCGGGGAAGCATTTACCAACCAACTTTGGTCGGTAATTGTTATTTTCTGTAAAATAACTGGCCAAAGTTGGTCGGTTATTACGTCAACATTGGTCAAACTTTTGAATTATTTTTATATTTACTATCTAAATAATATAAATGTAATCCGTGAACACTTTTGTAATACAAATAATGAATACACTAGCATATACTATATATAACATGCTATATATGTAGTTAAAGTAGTACAACGAAGCGTGTTATACACACACACACACACACACACACACACACACACACA